TACCTATCCCCAACAATAAAGACACAATCCCTTACTTCACCCCCTTGAAGGAAGCTAAAAGTTTTGAGAAAACCCCCCAGGCCCTGGGCAGATGGTGTTGCCTTGCGCATCACACTCTTGCGCACAAGGGTTGCCTGACAAGCGGTCAAAACAGCTTCAAAAAAGGGGCAACCTTGATCCCTTTAAGGGGTTATTGTAGAAGGATTAGGGTTATGCATTTCGAGCACCAGCTTCGGGGGAAGAACCACCCAAAAAAAGCCCCATAGGAAAGAGTGCCACGTAGGCCTCCATGCTAAGCTTGGGGTATGCGGCTCCTGCATGTCTTGGATACTGCTCCAGCCTATGACAGTCATATCTGGGGTTTTCATTCAAGGCATTCAGGCGTTTCAAAAACTCTGGGAAACATTCTTTCAGGAGGGAGGGCACAGAATAAAGGACTACAGATTACGATATTTGCCATGTATAGGAGGTGAACCCGATCTGTAAAATACCCATAGCTGTGCACTGATTGCAAGATTTGGGGGGCAGGGCTGTCTTCAAGTGGGTGCAGTGTCCAACTTATGCCTCATAGTCCGTACCGGAGTTTGCCGAAAATGCTCTTCCAAGAATGTAGGCAATCCGTGTAGATGCACATATTACAGTAGGAACCAAAACATAGGGACCTGTGCTAGACGAATTGAAGACTAAAGCACACATATATCATGGGGTACGTAAAGAGGCTGCTTTCGGAGACACCCTTGTAACAAGGCTTTTTCCGGTCCTGTGCAACTGCTGTTGCAGCTCTTTCCGTGTCAAAACTGGAGCATGATCAAAATCTATGGAAACCAGAAACTCAACAGTCCGGTGCAACAGAACTCCTGCCTGTTCAGCCCCTACAACCTCACCAAACACAGACAGAACCTGCAAAAGGGCTCTACGAAGACCATTGCCCCTCAAGGCTGGCCTAAATGTGCGAACAGAGACTAATAGGGTATATGTTGGGACTCTATGGAAATAACTGAAAATGAAATGGAAACTGCTACAATTACAACGGGGTATGTTATTGGGGTTCGTGGCCATCATGCTTGGGAGTTTGACCAATATCGATGATGTCAGAACTGCATTGTCTGTCAAGACCTGGAGCATATGCACAGGATGCCACGATGTTTGCCACACAAGACTGGCAACCCCAACCCAATTGTTTGCTCAAACATCCGCTCAGCCCTACAACCGATAGCCCGAGTTCAACACCCGAACTCACAAACCCCACTCCAAACCTCCAAACCTGACAAACGAAATCTTGACCTCCAAACACCTTCAAACTTCCAAACCCCGAAAGAAAACAAGAAGTGCTTCTTGAGGATTACCCCAAAGGGGCCTTCCAAACAGCTGCATCCCTCGCCACGAGTAGCAGCGGACTTCACCCCTGCAAAGTTGGCCTTCGCCTTCTCCTTTTCTCAAAGGATAACAGCTGAAAGCATCTAGGGCTGAGGGCCAAAGGTCCGAGTTTAGGGGTTGATATAGGTTTCAGGGTCGAGGATTTGGCGTTGAGGGCTTCGTGAACTCGGACGTGTGGGGTTGAGGGTGTTGGGCTCCATAGTTGAGAGGCTCGGTGGCAATGACTCTCACTTCAGGTAGAAACATGCTACCAGTAACTGACGCGGAAAACTAGGGCCTTCCATTGCACTCTGCGGATGTGTACATCGGATAAGCCCGGTCACGGCCTCTTACTTGTAAGGAAATGAAAATGAGGTACTTGGCGTTACTATAGGCCGACCTAGTAGACTACATAAGGATTGAAGCGAAGGCCATCTTGGGCCAACCAGCACATGACCACCATGCAACTGGCTAGAAGAAATCTGGCAATAGAGTTGCCACAAGGATTCCAGCAAAACCTCCCCCGAACCTGAGACGTCTTCAGCTCAATGCTTGCATTGGGCGGCTTGGGGGGGCCAACCAATTCTGCCAACTGTCGCCAATAACTGCCATGGGAAAGCAATGCAAAAGTCCTCGATCATCAACCCGATGTACGCCCCTACCCCAAGAAAAATGTAGGTGAAGAAGAACCCCAAACCCTAAATCCTAAACCCTGCGGCATCAAGCCCTAATCCCTAAACCTGAATACTGAACTTTTGCGTCACATCTCCTGAGACTTGAGGAACTCAGTCCTTGGCCGGACAAATCTCAAAAGGCTCTGGGGGACACTCGAATTCGTGCGCAGCGAGACGAAGGCCCCCGCTTACACAGACAACGACAACAGAATGCCCTGGCATCTTGGAGGGAGTTTCAAATTTTTCCAGGAACTTCAAAGAGACGTGGGATTACATGTTGTAGGGATTGCGAATACTCCACTATCCCTCACCCACGGTAGCTCATGCAAAGGTATGGCAGCCCAGATCCGCCCCCGTACTGCCCGCTCCCAACAAAAATTGCCACAAACTAGGCCTCTTCAGCATTATCTGGGCTCTAGTGTGGAGAGGAGGCGCAATGAGTAGGGGAGGGCGTAGTACAGGGTCCCACAGTCTGTGAGCGCCGTCAGCCCCTGCTTGAATCTCCTTGAACAAGCTCCCTTGCGATGGGAGTGTTCGTTGAAAGCCCCAACAACCTTTGATGTGAGATTCTGATGCTAGGTTTCACGTCCGCATCCGTATTGTGGTTCAATTCCTACAAAATCATAATTGTCATACTCATTGGCAAAAACAAACCAAGACTAAGTCCAGAGTAAGACTAAGACTGCTGCTGCTGCTGCTGCTGCTGCTACTACTACTACTACTACTACTACTACTACTGCTGCTGCTGCTGCTGCTGCTGCTGCTGCTGCTGCTGCGAAAACTACTACTGCTACTACTACTACTNNACTAAGACTGCTGCTGCTGCTGCTGCTGCTGCTACTACTACTACTACTACTACTACTACTACTGCTGCTGCTGCTGCTGCTGCTGCTGCTGCTGCTGCTGCGAAAACTACTACTGCTACTACTACTACTACTACTACTAATACTACTACTACTACTACTACCACCACCACCACCACCACCAAAACCGATTTGAATGCTTTTACTAACTCTCATGTTTGTAATTCATTTCACTGATACCACTGCGGATGCTAATCTGTGATCTGAATGGACTTAAAGCTTGGCAGGTGCTCGCACAAGCTCAGATCTCAGAGAAATTCTTGAGGGCTAGGCCCAAGCAAGAAAGACAAGTTGTTGCTGTTGACTGGAGCTCTGCAACTTTGAGCTCTTCAGTTTTGCATCTTCGCAGCTTTGCTTTCTGCAATTCAAAAGGCATAGCAAGCGCTATCGTGCCAAGGAGCCCTAAACTGTTCATGGAAGCCTGACACACTTAGAAGCAAAGCTTCAGATTGCCCAAAATTTCGTTGCTGGTCTGAAGAATTTGACATTAGACAGGGTTCCGCAAGCTTTATGGAGATTCTAGATAAACAAACACCTGACGACCTGCGCAAAGGGGTCCAACAGTAGGGCATGTCCTCCCTTCCCTGCTGATCAGCAGAAATGGTTGCCACCGGGTCTCTCATCCTCTTCCACAAAGACCTTGGCAGCGGTGCTGCGTTCAAGTTCATGCTGATTGCAGTTTAGGGCTTAAGCACAGGTACCCGCCCACATTGTCCATGGTCATGGATGTATGGACGTGAAAGCCTGAATAACTAGAATGAGTTGCCAGGGCAAGTCATAATGGACTTACATATGAGTTATGAGGGGGCAAGACAAGCGAAAGGTTTCTTCAAGCTTCCGTCCGCCGTCAACAGACACAAGCCCTGAGCAATAGACGTTTAAAAGTAACCTAAGAACCCTGCGTGTTGCAGCTTACTGCAGCCAAGGTGCAAAGTACGTTTCACCTGCCTCAAGGTCATGGAAAGTGCCGATTGGCTCCTCGAAGACGTATGGAAACACCTGACTGGTTCTGGTGGTTGAGCCCAGAGGGATTATCTTGAAAACGCTTCAACCATGAGGCTAGACTATTCCCATTTTCAAATGCGGCACGCCGGGTTCTATGGCCTAAGGTAGGAAAGGTCCCCTGTCTCGCACATGAGAGTCTTGAAACCATGCTTACTGCTGGCTAGTTGGGAATGCAGGAATGCATGCAAGAATGCAAGAATGCATGAATGCATGAATGCATGAATTCATGAATGCATGAATGAATGCATGCATGAATGAATGAATGAATACATGGATGCAGTGAAAATGGTGAAAGCACTATACCAATCTGGGTAGGCTGGTGAGCCTTAGAGAGGGGCAACTATGCGGATCCTATATTTCCTCAGGACCTAAAAACCACCAGCACGCATCAGGATTTCAGCAGAACGTTGAGCCTCTCCAGGCTTCAGGTAGCTCCCTGCATATCACAGGAGAGTCCAGGAGAATTACAACTATATTCTCACCCCATCCCGAAGATGACCCTATATATATGCCCCTTAGATAGACTGTAAAGTCAAGTAAGCATACTCCCATGTATAGCTACCCATGATTTTGAGAACTCCGTACCCCTATATGCCCCCATTCTGAGCGTCCAGGGAAATCCCAAGGCCTCTCCGGCACTCTCCAGCTTGTACTTCTCCTCCGAGCAGTTCCACAATTTTCTGACCTGCCTTTGGGATCCTCTCTCATTTGGGGGCTTCTTAGAGATTGCAGGAACTTGCATATATCCACCGTACATTATAATCTTCATGAGAGGGACACTCCACAACAGGGAGTCCAAAATGAACGCCGGCCATTTACGTTTTTTTTACGCATTGCGGTTTTGTACCAGCAGATGTGCCAAAATACAGACTGTTGCTGTAAGCTTTGCAGGCACCGCTGCGCAAGGTCGCCGTGACATGGTTCCGACCACGGAGCTATGCATGAAGCTGCTGCACACCGCTTCTGGATAACAGTTGGACTCAGCACTATGACAAGTAGAGGCAAGCTGCCTCATCAAAAGACAGTCCAACATCTATATGATTTTTTTGACATGAACTGGATGCCTCTGTATGTTGTGGCAACCATGCCGCAAAAACACATCTCAAAACTTCAGGCGCAGGACAAACTGCCAGTGCCCAGCGGGGGAGTCCACGCCGATAACGGTGGCGCCAAGGCCATAGACATCGTAAGGCGGAGCGTTAAGGGAGCCCGACTGGGTGTTTTGGGGTTTCCATCCCCACTTGTCTTCGCACTTCTGCAGGACACAGCCGATGTTGGTGCCGAGACTTCCCTGCAAGTTGCCAAGGTTCGAGGTGTCCACATCACTCTTGCTGAAGCACTCCTGCGCAAAGTGGAGGATATCTGTCTCCTGCTCAGGCGTGGCGTCCCCACGATGCAGGCTCTGAACTGTCACTGCCACCTGACCTGCGCCAGAGCCACCACCTGAGAATGATTTGTCTGACTTCACGTAGGCCTAGTATGAGTAAGGTATTGGTCAGTACTAATCTATCCCTTGTATTGTGACGATGATGGGACAATTTTGACAAGTATCAAGCTGTGCGTCACAAACAGACCACACTGACCCAATCCGTTCCGTGCCCAGCCCCATTGCTGGTGCATGGGCTACACGCGTACAAGAAGTTTCAACAAACTTTTTAGAATCTGTAGGCGCGGCAGTGATTGTCTAGGTAATTATTCAGCATTCTAATTCTACCATTGTGCTCCTGCCAAGGAATGGGAGGCGAATTCGGGGGGAATCAATAGAACCCCCCCAAACAAGTGAACCCCGCCATCTAAATCCCTAAACTTCATGTCAGAACCGTCACAAGCCGAAACAACTAAAAGCCCTTCCAACCCAAAAGCCTGGAATCTACTGTGCAACTTTGGGCAATCAATCCCTACCTGCCCCTTCAGGCTTCTTCAAGATGAATTGCCACTTGCCGGAGGGGGTGTCCACCCCGATGACCTGCGGAAGGGCTTAGAGCTTGGGGATTTCCACCGCGTTTTCGAACGTCAACTTTTTGGCCCATCTCGGACTTCATTATACCCAAAGAAAGGTTGCCCAAGCCATCAACTCTGAAACAAGCACAGGTAAGTGACAGTGGTCCCCGCGCCATAGGTGTCATAGGGACCCCCCGAGTTGGAGCCAGAGCCCACGAGCTCCGGTTGCCAACCCCACTTCCTGGGAACGGGCCAGGGTTTATTCATAGTGTTTAAGGCTCTAGGGTCCAGAGTTTTTGGCTGAGTTCCCCAAACTGGCACGGAACCCACAAAGGGCGTCACAAAGACCACGGCTCTTGTAAAAAGGTGCTTGGTGAGGTTCCCGCTGCAGTAGCTCGGGTAAGGGCTAGATGCAGATGAGAGTGTGTTTGTGGCCTTTTCAGGTCACGTAAAGCTTAGAAGTAAAGGCATTAAGAAAAAAAAGAGAAAACATTACCTAGCAGTGCTTGACGAGGAGTGAGGAGTGGATCCACATCATTATCCCTACCTGATGCACGTACATCCCCCTATTGTAGCACCTATATTCAATTACGCACCAATACTGGGATGTGCAAAACCTGGCCCAGCTGCTGGTTCAGGTTGTAGAGAACGCATTGGGTAGCATCGCCCAAGCTGCCCTGCAAGCCTCCCACGCCCTGGCTTGTGTCCACAGGATTCCTCAGTCGCAATTCATATCCTCGGAAGAAAAAGGGTGAATCTTCGACATATTCACCTAAGGGACCCACATGCACATCCAAAAAGGCACAAAGATCGCGTCCTTAGATCTATGAGTAAAACACCCTTCCTTGTGACTGCACAAGTTCCCCAACATGGATGCTAGCCCCTAAACCCCTAAACCCCCAGATCACCCCAAAGGATGCCCTGGATGCGGATCCAGATTCCAGGTAAAGCAGTCCTCCGAGGTTTTCCTGTGTCATTCTGAAGACTTACCTTAAGTCTTAATCCTTCATGGCAGGGTGTCCTAAGCGGTTCGTAAGAGCCCCTTCTTTCTTGAGAAGCCAGCTCCTGAGTTCGGCCTGCTGCGAGTCGTCGGCCCAACCGCTGATGAGGCAATTCGCCGAGACACCCTTGCGACTCAGAAACTCCTCACCTGCGGGTGAAAGGTATCCTCGAGGATGTCCGGATAGGAGTAATGGGGATTTCATGGGACACTGGAAAACAAAATGGAAACTACTATTTAAGGTTTTCGGATAGGCGGAAAGGAAAAGACAATGGAAACTACCAGCAGAACCCCAAGGAACATGGAATCTTACTTTGTCTTGGGGACTACAGTACTATTCACAGCGTCCGTCAGTTTGGCTCCTCAAATAAGAACAAATAGGGGAAAAGCAGAGGCGGGCGATAACGGTGCATAGGTCGGCATTGATTTGGTTGCACTTACTTAGGCTTATTTTGAAGCCCCCTTCATTCAAGAGGGACACATGGATACAACGTCTATGCATGTCCCAAAACCCTAAACAAAATTCAGCTAGGTTGAGCCCATTGAAAAAACCTCAAAGAGGGGATACGCTTTGGGACTTACAGAGATGTTAGGAATACTCTTTTCGACCATGGAACGATTCGTTTGAGAAATTCCTCACCTGCAAGCGCCTGGGACAGCAAAAGCAAAGCCACGGCGGTTTGCATCATGGCTGCGAGGGGCGAAGGTCCCCAAATGGCCAGGCAACTGTTGAACCAAACTCAGCTCAGGTTTAGGTTTTAGGCTTTCGGGTTCAAGGTTACAACTAGCTTTAAGGGAGCTACATCAGCTCATGCTGACAGAGTCTTCATCCGTGCCAAGGCACAATGAAGGAAACCAAACACCTGCCGTTTGGGCGTTTGGCACATTATTTCTATTTGGGATGGTTTTTGACATGTGTATATCATGTGTATATATATATATACTATATATAATACCCTTTCCGAAGTACTATTCACTTGCCCTGTCCTCGGCGCTCTTCTGGCTGAGGTGGATTTTGCAACCGGGCATGACATCTGAGAGGCAGTAGGTCCTGGGATTTCGGGAAATCTTCAGTGGCTCTGCATCCCTAAGATATCAGTCACCACCCCGCATAATGGGTTGCTTTAACCTGTTCCACACTACATCGCCCAGGAGGTCCTCAGACGTCACTGGCAGGTCCGGGCTGGGGATTGTAAGCACCGCAAATTAGAGTTTGAATTAATTCCATCAAGAGATGTCTCTTGCACTTCCCATGAACCTGCATGGTTAGGCAACGGAAAGGCACGAAGCTTGCTTCCCGAGGGACCCCATACCTGAAATGATGCCACGTGACTTTCCTTATTGCTTTACTTGGTAGGGCACTGAGGTTACGAAGGCCTGTGGAGTCGAAGGGCTACATCAGGCTTCTGACAAGGTGAGGAAAGGATGCAGTACGTTACCTGACTTCAGCGTCACACTGTTCTAGCAACAAACTAGAATCTTCTCAAAATACCAGGCCCTTACCCGCCCAGATGTTGGGTCCTCTTGACGTTCATGCAGGAATAGTGCGGGGAAATACCCACATTGGCATGGTGGGCTGCATCTTCACCCTCCCCCTGGGACTCCGGACTCGTCGATCTCAGCGGCAGTGATCTTCCCGTCCTGCAGCTGGCTATTCTTACTTTCTGGCTGATGGTATTTCTTCCTCCTGCGTTCTGTTACCGCTCCTGACACGGCAGATATCCGGAACTCAAAGCCCTCAACCCTGCTTCCCCAAAAAATGCTCACAGGACTGGTTTGGGAAGGGCCAACTCCAAACTCGCTAGTCTGTTCGTTGAAGAGTCAAAGGGGTCGCATCTTAACCCCATGCCGTCTACGAGCAGTCTTGTTTTGCATGTAGCCCGCAGCCACATGGTTGAGGCTTGGGGTTTACGGCCAGCGCCAAAAACTCAACAAAAAAAGGCCTTGATCGAGAACTTCTCGTCGTACATGCTGTACTTCCTGGGCAGAAGCGCTCGAGGGTCAAAATGAACCTCCCTTGCAACAACGAACGCGCAACCCCAGACCCTACTACCCTCGTGCTTCGAACCCTGCTAGGGACAGACCAGTAAAGACCATCTGGTAGCTAGCAGATTTGACTTCTGCAGAGGAAAACTACTTGGGACCCTAGGAATTTAAGGAAACCATCAGGAGATCATGGGACCTCCCTCAGGGATCAGAAGCGTATTTCTGCCAAACTGACATGGACCCCCAAAAAACTCCTTCTAAAGACTGCAGTCCGTTTGAATGGTGCATATCTGGGTTCCACGTGAATTCAGGCGAGGGCAGCTTGAGACATTCGCGAAATCACAGGCTGGCTGGGCGCCAGCAACCCATCACAATTAAGTGCTCTTTACTAACGATGCAGTCAGGGAGCAGGACAACATCACCATTGGCCTCCAAGCCCAGCAACTCAATACAGAGTTGTTTAGCTTGTTTGTGCTACAGGCGCCCGGCTCTTGAGAGGCTCTGTGACAGCTGTTGTAACTTTGCCTCTTTCTCGCTGCAGGCTGCGACTAACATCCAAAGTGGCTACACGCATCCAGGATTAAGATCCCAACCTCAACTCCAAAGCAATTGAGCTCCTTGCCCGAGGCTTGAACTTGCAGCTCTATGTCTCTGCAACCTTGAACCCTAACCCTGAGCCCTTAACAAGGAAGGCTGTGAGTGCAGGAGCAATGCTGGGCCTTGGCTTTCTTCCTCTGCCGCTCCTGGGAGAGAAGTGCCTTCTTGCATTCTCCCAAAACAAAACTGAATCATTGAATCCCACAAGTAATGTAAACGCCTGAATAGTTATCCATTTCAGTTGAGGTTTGTTTGCGGTGCCCCACACCGCAATTATACCTGGAATCTAGGACCAGTGATGGGAGCTCTTCAAGCTTCTGCTGTGTAGGGTTTCAGGGTTTCAGGATCTCAGGGATTTGGGGTGGTGTGGTCGGGCACGCGAGCACGGTTTAGCCCAGACTTCCCGCTGGGAAAATGAGATCGGGGGAACGCAGAAGTTCTAGTTCATAACGGTTCAAGTTGAGGGAAGCCTAGGGAAGTTTAGGACTTAGTTAAGACTGAGTAAATGTGTGCTAAGAGCTATGATGGCGTTCTAGTAGGCTCATGCAACATATCTTCATACAGACTGCATGACAGAGCAAATGCTAAGCCACGGAAACTGTTGTCTCCAACATGTTTCTGAAAACTAGGGCCCTCTTGGGGTTTTCTTGTAACAAGGATCACAAGATTGTGCGTAAAGTGGAAAAGCTGTAAATGTTGAAAACCCTGCACCACCCTAAGGTCCATGATTGCCAAAGACTACTGTAGCTTTGGAATCCTAGGTGGTGCAGGATTTACCTCGTCCTCGTGAACAGGACCCCTCTCCCCGGCAACCCTTTGGAACTCCTCCTCTGCTGCTGCCTCAGCTTTCTTCCGCTCCTGGAGGGACAGGGAGAGGACTCAGAACTTCCAAAAACCTCTCGTTTAAGGAATATACCCTTCAAGATACGCGCAGGCTCCTGATATGATTTAAGGCATCTCCCTGAATTAACGAGTTTCGGCAGTTCTCGGGAATCGGCATCAAGAATTGAGATGTGAACAAGTTGGGCACTGTACAAGGAGAAGACGCCTCCTGGGTCCCAATCCCACCCCCATGGCCGAAAACTGTCCCCTACACCACAAACCCGACAAAATGGCCCTATCAACCCCAGAAGCCTTACAAACCCGGCGTCCCTTCTCATCAAAGGCTAGCGCGTGCCCAAGCCCCAAGTTGCTAGACCCAATCGTATCAGCGTTCCCCTATACAATATAATTCCCATATACTATATTCCCATGGCCCCTTCCAAGAACCAATAAGTTAAGACCCGAAAGCGCCAGGGTACAACTCCCTCAAGCGGACCCCTTGACTGCCACCTCTTCAAGCTTGGCAGCCTCCTCGTCCTGTTGCAAGGCTCAACGTTGGGCTTAAACAATCAGAATAACGTTCTGGCGTAAATTATCCGATCTTAAATCATGTCAGGATGATGCGGGGATAATAACATTCAGGCTTCTACAGTATAAGGTTTCAGCCTTTTCGGACGGAGGCTTTGTGCTTTTTGGTCCAGGATTTGGGGGGTTTTGCATCTTTTGCCCTGCTCTGCGTGAAGGGCTCGGGTGACCGAGCCTGAAAGGAGAGACCAGGACATGATACTCCCAGCATATCAATGCTGGCTAGCAGGGATTGATGGAATAATACAGTGTTAGAATGACAACTCTGGGGGCCCCTTCCTCCACTCGCCAGTGAGATGTAGAAAACAGTCCCGCAAAGCCTGGCCATACTCAGAACAGGGATGGCTGGTAGGAATTGGCTGCGCATTGCGCACACCACCATGTCCAATTCATTGGAAATATGCACCATATGGATAGCTTCCGAAACGAGGGCTCACTTCATCCACGAACACTAAGCGACATACTTCACACTCCCCATGAGAACAAGCCATAGAGCCATTCAAGATGAGGTTTCATCCCAGCCTGGCCTGCTTTTTCAGCTCTTCCTCCGAGGGTTTCTCTGCCTTCTCCTCCTCAAGCAGACCAGAGGTGTGTGGCCAAAAAAACATGTTGACTACATGGGAGCCTTCTGGGGCCCTTTCTTGGATTAGTGTCTGTGCCCGTTCAATCAAAGGACTCAAGTTGTCGGTCGCCTTCTGGGGTGCGCATCTCTTTGCCGCAAATAGTCACACAGGAAGTCTTCAACCTGGGAGGCCCTTCTCCCGCCCAAAAACCACAGAAGTGGGCTGCCTAAAAGGAACCCATGATCCTTCACGTCATCTGCACCCAACAATGACACAACTTCACACCGAGAATTTCTCCAAAGAGAGGGAGCCCTGGGGATAAGTGCAGCTGACAGGAAATTTACAGGGGTCGACTTCGAGGATGATCATAGGACCCTGCACACTGAACTCCAAACTGTTGCTATGCCATGGCCACCCTCTCCTCCTTAGGCGGCTCCTGCTTGGCCTCCTCCACTTTCTGCTCTTCCTGTGCCGCAGACTGACTTCTAAGTGTTCGCACTTGGGGGTGCAGAATGTAGAGTGGAGTTGGTCGGGTGTAGGTTGAGGGGCAAGGACTCTACAAGTTCCAGGGATTATGCCAGGTTGGCCCAGCAGCCTTGTAAGGGTTTGGGCGGGTGGCTTTCCTGGATGCAGGGTTTGAAACCACCAACCT